CCGCCGCTCCGCGACGCCGCCGCCCGGCAGCCGCACCCGCACGCGCACCGCGCCGGCGCCGGCCGGCGGCTCGGGCGGCAGCGTGGCGCGCAGCGCCGCGCGCAGCTCCACGGCCTGCCGCCGCGCCGCGTCCGCTGCGCGGCGCTGCGCGTCGCGCGCCGCGTCCGCCAGCAGCGACGCCTTGAACTCCTCGTCCTGCCCCGCCCTCAGCGCCCGCTCGCCTTCCAGCCGCTCCGCCGCCTCGCGCGCCGCGATGCCGCCGGCGCCGCCGCGGTGCTGGCCCAGCCACTCGCGCTCGCGGCGCTCCGCGTCACGCGCAGCCTCCGCGGCCGCCTGTGCGCGCGTGCACGGCACATTTGCATTGCGTTCCTCGGCCAAAGCTCACCAATAGGGGCCCCGCCAATCAATGCCGGCCAGGGCTGGGTCGTGCGGCGGCTGACGCGCCCGCCGCAGGTGGTGCATCCCCCGTCGCGCAGCGCCCCGCCATTCAGGCCCTCCCAGCCGGCGGCCAACACTCGCCGTTTGCAGTGTGTGGAGCTCACACAGTGGACCCCTCCTCAGCAACCAGGCGACGGACAACAGACGGCCACCGGGCCAGGGGGCACCCCCAGATCCCCAGCACGTCAGACAAGCGCCCTGCCCCTTCCCCGCGCCTCACCCGAATCTGCTCCAGCCGCCGCCGCGCCGCCTCCGCCGAGGCCTCCCGCTCCCGGGCCTCCGCCGCCGCCGCCGCGTCGCCGCCGGAGGCGCCTGTGGGGTGGTGTGGTTTGCAGCACGGCCGGGGAGCGGGCAAGGCGTGGTCAAGGTGGGTCGGACAAGGCGGCTGGGGCAATGGGCTCAACAGCACAAGGCCACCGGGCTCTATGGGTGGCCGCATCACAGAAACCAGCCGCAGCGACCGCCACTGCGCAAACCCAACACCCTACATCCCAAATCCTGTACGTGGGGGCGGCCCTAGAGCCTCAAGGGGGGACTATTGGCGCTCAAACCCCACCTGCGGGGCCGCCCACTGCAGCGAGGCGCGCCTCACGCAGGCGCTCGGCCTCCAGCGGGGCCGACGGCCCGGCCGCCGCGGCCGCCACCGGTGCGGCCGGCCCGGCGCCGGTCGACCCAGGGGTCCCCTGTGCCACGCCCTGCTGCTGCTCCTGCTGCTGCTGCTCCTGCTGCGCCTGCTGCTGCTGCTGCTGCTCCTGCTGCGCCTGCTGCTGCTCCCGCAGCTGCTGCTGCTGTTCCTGCTCCTCCGGCTGCCATGCGCCGCCATCCTCATGCTCCGACGACCGCCCCGCGCGCCGCCGCCGCGCATCCCCGCCGCCCCCGCCCGCCGCGCGGCGCTCCGCGGCCG